TAGAACATCTCCCGGGGGAACAAATGGCATTCTGTCTTGTGTCCTGGCGGTCATCGGGCTGAATTTTATACAAAAACACTAAGTACAATTCAGTGTCTGTTCTGTATAAAAAAGTTGTTTTGGTCCGCAGATTAACAATTCCCTTTAGACAGTCTCCATTAAAGAGTCTATCCAGAATGAAGCAAAGCAAATATTTAGTTGGTTCTCTTCAGTGTTTTGGGCTATTTTGTTTAACCTTATTATTTCACCAGCAGAGCGCCAGCTGGAGTTCACAGCCAACATCCTTTGAAATTAACGTCCTTACATTTAGTCCTATTGAGGAAAGCACTTTTTGACCAATTACAGAGTTCCTTCTATCAATAAAGTCGTTTATGAAGGGATACAGTCTCCACAGATAATGTGCTGGGTTTTTCTTTTTTTTTTTTTTTTTTTTTTTTTTAAATGAAAGCTGGCCTAGTCTAAAAGCAGACAGTATTTTATTCACTACTGAATCTCCTCACACCACCTCCCAACACACAGATGCCTTTTAGACTAACTGGCTGACAACTATAAAAACTCCTTGAAGCAGCTCATTTATAAGGAAAGCTGGATTAGCATATTCAGCTCAAAGGAATGTGTCTTTGGACCAGAATCCCGCCCAGTGTAAGAAACTTGTATTCACTGTATAAAAAGCACATGTCATCATTTGATGACATCAGGTCTGTCAGCGCTGCCTTCTACACAACCGGTGTTGCCAGCAGTCAAACAAGACTGGTAGGTGTGATTTAGGATGAGGTGGAGAGAAGCAAAGGCCCAGTCATGCGTATCTCCAGCTCTGCAGCTGTGAGGAAGAAGTAGTACTGGGCTGACATCACCCAACACCTATTAGGAGCATGATCCTTCATCACGTTCGTGCAGGATGACACCTAAAAGGACCACCATCTTTTGATAACGATTCTGAAACGCTGATCAATCTGCTGTTCCATGTCGCTTCTGTGCTTTCTTATACTTCGCCGGATACTTCTCATTGCCAAAGGAAAAAATAACATATGCAGCAGGTTCGTGAAGTAACTCATGTTTATGAATAAGTATTTTTGATCATAAGATCAAGAGTAATCACTGCTTAAAAAGGCGCCTCAAAATTACAATTAGATTATTATTCAGTTCACAGATTCAGTTACAAGGCAACAACTCACTTTTAAGTCTGCATGAATTTTCATCCTGGGAGAATCATTTTCATTGAAGTTATTAAGCGCTGTTTTCCATATTTTATTTTTTTTTTCTTCACTTCTGCTGGGAGGACAGGTCTACCCTATGAAAACTCCACACCTTGTGTGCTTAGGGCTGGGGCAGGTGCCAGCACGGGGCACAGACAGCTTTACCGAGCCCTGTGGTATTCTTAGTTGTTTACATAAACTACACTGATGCAGTAATTCCATTGGCTCTTCCAGTTCAATTACTTTTAAATTCCCTGAACGCAGACAGCATTCCTGCAATTCACATTAGCACCAGAATTTTAAGGGCTACTGGCAGCTCTCCTTGGCTACGTAGGTTCAACACCATCAAAGAGAATATTGTGGAATTACAGCTAGGGATCAAAATGAAGCAAAAGCCGCAGGAAAAAAAATTAAGAGAGATCTCAAGAGCCTCTCGGTAAGGTGACTGGACAAAAGAAAAACTCCTCACCCTAAAACCCAGCAGCTTTCAACAGCTGCTGGTTACATCAGTCAGCCCTGGGGCAAAACGGGGAAAACACCAACGTAAGGAAATACAGGGTTTAACCAGACATTTTAAGCAGGTAAAGAACTGTGCGTACGGATTTTAAGAGTAGCTCAACGAGATTTTCCTCTGCCTCTTTTTTCCTGTTTTAAAGTTACGATCCCCAAAACTTCTACAGCTACTCGGTGGGTAGTTCCAGCACGTCCTAGCTGCTCCTCCGTCCTGACAGAGGCAAAGAGGGAGCGTTACAGAGCTCTTTGCCACCACACGACGGGCCACCGCCGCCGCCCGGCCCCGGCCCCACGGACCCGGGGAGCGCAGCTGCTGGGCCCTGACCCCCCAGGCGGCCGCCGGCAGAAGGAGGTCACCCTGGAGGACTCGTCGCTGCCCTCACCCGCCTTTAAAAATAGCCGTGGAAGGAGCCTCCCCAGGGCTGGCCCTCCTCCACCCCGGCCCCGCATCCCCGCGGCGGGAAGGGCTGCGGCCGCCGCCACCACCGCCACCCCGCGGGCCGCGCTGACCTTCCCCGGCTTCAACCCCCCCTCCGCCGGCCCATCCTTGCACCGGGAGACCGCCGGGCCCGGCCGGCCCCACCGCCCCAACCCCACCTCAGCGGGGCCGCGTCCCTCACCCGCCCTGCCTGGCCACGCTCCCCTCAGCGGGGCCCCCGCCCTTGCCCCGGGGTCGCGGGGAGCCCCGAGCGGCTGCAGCCCACCTCCTCTCGCTCGCTGCCCGCCCGGGACGCCCCAGCGGCCCCGCGCCCTCCACCCGGGTCGCGGCTCACCTCTCCCGGCCGCCACCGCTGTTGGTGCTGCCGGGGCCAGCGCGCCTCCTTCCCCACGCCGCCATCTTGGAGACACTCGGCTCGCAAATGTCTCCGCCAAGAGACCCCGGGCCCGCCGCGACGCCCGACGGGAAATGTAGTTCGCGGGGACAGCTGGAACAACTCAGCGGGAGCGGCACGAACGCACTTTTCGACTACAAGTCCCACAGTGCTCCGCGCCACCACCCTGCCGCAGGGGCCTCTGGGAAGCGTAGTCCCCCCGGGAGGGTGTGGGGGCGGCGGGGATCAGGGCGGGAGTGGGGATAGGGCCCCCCGTCACCAGTGCTAGGCTCCGGCGGGCAGAGCAGCCCCGACGCCCCGGGCTCGGCCTCTGCTCCTAGCGAGCTCCAGAGGGAGCGGGGCCGGCTATGGGAGGAGCGCGGAGGCGAGTCCCGGCCTGCCCCGCGGCCCCGCCATGAAGGGGGTGCGGCCGGGGATGCGGCCTCCGCTGCGGGCGAAGCGGCCTGGGCCGGGCCTGGGGAATGGCTGTGGGACGGGAGCGGGGGCAGCTCTTGCCGAGGTGCAGAAATCCTCCGGGGACGGAGCGTCGCCTTGTTTTACTGCTCGAAAAAGAAACACGCGGTTCGTTGTCGCCGGCGGAGGAGGGATGGAGAGTCTCCTCAGAGCAGCACCTCCCCGGGGATGAGGGAATGGGCCTTGTGGGGTCAATTCGACCCCTTTCATCAGTTCTGACCGAGGAGCAGATAATGGGGAGGCTCGGCTTCTCTGAGGAGGTGCAACAGTTTATAGCCAAACACTTCACTAGAAAACTACATGCATATTTGCCACTCTTTGAGGTTTCCCAGCTCCTGTTGATCCAGTGGCAGTTGATGATGGAGGTTTTGGGGGGGTTTTGGGGTTGTCCTTGTGCCTCCCGAGGTTCTCTATAGCTCCCAGTTCTGACTCCTCCCAGGAGACTTGCCTTTTTCTCAGGAATTAGTTTTCCCTTTACAAACAGCATCTCCTTGCCCCACAACCCCCCCCCTTTCCTGGAGGTACCCTGTCCTCAGCACGACTCGTCCTCCAGCCTGAGAAGGGAGTGGCGCTGTCTTTGCATCTCCCATTCCTAGAAAAAAGCCTCTTTTTGACAACATTACTTCCAAGTGATGTCACATCACTCAACAGAATAAACCCATGGCTGCCTCTGCCTCACCAGGCGCCGCGAGGCCACACTGCCAGACTGCAGCATCCTCCCCCACCCCTGTTTTCTCAGCTGTAATTTGGGGGTCAGCTCTTTCTCTGGAGGTGAACGGTGCCTTTGCAGGAACAAGAGGTGTTTGGGAAGCGTGCCCAGCCTGGCAGAGCGTGCAGCCGAGCGGCGGCATCGCTGGGACAGGCCGGAGCATCGGACTGTCTGGAATGTGGAATGTAAACAGAGCGTGTTACCAACCAGCAACAGCCCGGCTTCGTGCTACAGCCCAAACCCACCGCCCTGTCTCTTGGGAGGAGCAAAACCCATGCTCCTGCCTCCTCAAATTGCAGCCCAGGGGCCACTTGTCACATTGGATCAAATCATAACTGTAAATAAGCTGTGCCCCTTCTATCCAGCCCTGGCGTTTTTGGCTATCGAAACTCCGGCCGCAGCCTCCGGTGGCTTGCTGGGACGTGCTGGTGGCTTGCTGTAAACGTGCTGGGAGCCCAGTGCCCAGCAGAAAAGTGCCTTGTGTTCCTCTGAGTCACCTGCCCTGCACAGCAGGGAACAACTCCATGGGCTGGCTATTCAAATGTTTTCATGCCTTAATGTTTTCCAACATCTTAAACTGATGAGTGCAAACACCGAACGCCTGCTTGCCAGAGGCTGCCTTTGCAGGATGACTTCCAAAGACTGTTTGGCCTGAAATCTCAAGGCAGGACCAGGGAGCAGGAGGGGATCAGCCAGCAAAAGAAAGGAACCAGTTGTGATCCCACTCACCCCAAGCTCTACACAATCATCACGAGGTCAGCCAGCCCCATGACCTGAAATAAATTTCAATACCTTCAGCCCATGGTTTCCTGTTAATTTGCAATAGGAGCAAGGGTCTTTCAGACCCTCCATCACCTTCACCACCTGGATGGGGTCCTTCTTGCACAAGATCCTCTTCCTCGTGAGGAAAAGAAGTAGCATTTTCTCCATTTTTTGGAGGGGAAGATTAGGCAGTAGGAGAGTAGCTGCCGTACTCGGCTTCTGCCTGTTCACACACCTTCAAGACATAGACACACTACTGTCCAAGAGACGCGGGATTAGATTTGTCAGAGGATGTGCTTTCAGGGATGAGAAAAAGATAGTTTACATTTATGTAGAAAATTAATATGCAGCAATGAGACAGCAAAAATCATACCCTGGATATGGGCTAGAGAGCGCCGTTGTTTTTGACAGGAGCTGTGAAACGGGCTCTCTGCCAAAGCGACCCAGCCCAGCGGTGACAGGGCTGAGGATGCCCAAGGTCCCCTGATCCTACAACCACCTCTTCCTGCCCCCCACCCAGCAAACCACTGCGGGTCAGTTAAGCCACACTTTTTATTGTATTGTATTCCATGCAATATGTTCATGTTTTATAGTATGACAAGAGAGAGGGATAAAGATAAATGTTAGACATAAACAAAAGCAGAAAGGTCGTTTGTAACAGGTCCTGAGAAGGAAAGGCACATCGTAACCACTGAATTCAACAGAATGGAAACCTTGGACAGAGGAAGACAACTCTGGAAAGGGGACGAGGGAGGGGGGTGTTTCAAGTCGGGCGATGTGGAAGCAGGTTTGACAGCAATCTGCATTTCCCCAACCACCCAGGTCTGTAGTTCAAATGGGCTCGGGGGACCTCAATATTCAACCAAACCACTTCCACACAGCTGTTGCTGGAGAGAGTCCAAGATCCCCAACTCCTCCAGGCTTAGTCAGCACCAAGGAGCAACACAGGACTCAAAGCTCCATCCTGCAGAGACAAGCTGAGAAAGGGCAGCTGGTGAAGAGAGAGGAAGAAGGGCTGCCCAATGCCGAGGGACCCCATGCCATCTCCTGCCCAGCAGTGCCAGATCACAGGAGCACTGTGGACCGTGGCATGACTGGTGACCTGTGGGTATTGCTATTGATTGATGAAGAATTTTGCTATTCAAAGACCGCAGGGAAGGGAAGGCCAGGGCGGAGGTACAGCAGTGAAACGGTTGGCACGGACACTGGCACACGTCTCCGTCGGGTCAGACACCAGAGGGATTGTAGCACCTCGAAGGGAAGCAGCAGCAAAACTGTGTGCTGTGCCTGATTTAAGGCAGCAGTTGCCACTTGTGATCCAGAGCTGGGAAGCACGAGGTTCTTGCCAGAGCAGCATGAAGGGCTCCAGGGCCGGGTTTGGACACTGGGACGGTGCTGGTGCAGCGACCCCAGCACACCCTCCACGAGCTGCTCTCATGCAGCAGACACGATGAGGTACTCCTGGGATCTGTCACACAGTGGAGATGAGCACAAAACCAGGGCAGAGGCTCGCAGCGCTGGGCTCACGCTATTGCTCCCATGAGGCAACCAGGCACACACCTCTTCCAAGCACCCAGCCCTGCTGTGACAAAGATACAACGGTGTCTTATCTTGGCTTGCAGGAGAGGAGACAGTTCAGCTTCACTTTGGGACCAAGAGCAGGGACGGTTCTGTTATCACTTGGCTATAACAGTGCCAGACTTGCTCCTGGAACTAGACGTTGAAGTGTTTTTTGCATGTTAAAGAGTGAACATTTGGCAGCCCAGATTTCTTCCTGAACCCCTTTTCTTTAGTTGTTTACCTGTGATCCTTTCCCAGTCCCTCTAAACCATCCAGAAGCTCGCAGCCAGGCTGAAATAGGCAGCAAGAGGGCAGGAACATGAGGCAGTGGCAGGGCTGAGCCTGATGCTTTTCCTGAGCAGCACAAGCTGGAGATGGGTCTGCCACCAGGCACAAGTCCCTCCCCAGGCAGGGGTCTCACAGCCTGCGGTGTGGCAGGGATGGAGTTTGGGAGGTTTTACTCAAGCCTGTAGGCAGAGGACTGTGTTATGTTGGTGGTGGGCAGCCACAAAGCACAGGCAGGCAGCAGGGCTTCACCTCGAGCCAGTGGCCAGGAGGAACATCTCAGGGTGTTCCTGGCTGAGATCAGGCGCAGGGTCTCCATCTCTGACCAACCCATCCAGGAGAGACGGTTGCAGGAACTTTTGCCTTTGCCTCTGTGGACTTTGCACTGGGCTGCAGGAGAGGGTTGAGCTGCCCCTTGGCCGGGGCTTCACTCGGTCCGTGGCACAGATTGTAAACTTTAGTCCCTGCTGAGATAAGGTAGGTCTGGATTTGGCCTCCAGGTGAAAGGCTCTTTAGCTCGTTCTGCCTGGCTGCGGCCCCCAGTGGCTGGTGTGCCAGGAGCACCATCTCCTCCACCTCAGCCCAGCCCTGGGACACTGCAAAATCTTGAGAGCTTGGTGGGGAGATGCTCTGGGGTCCAGCTCGGGCCCTGGAAAGCCTGGGTGAGGCAGGACAGGCAGCAAGCTGGAGCCAGGCAGCGCCCTGCCGTCACGGTGTTACCTCTACATCTGACTGTGGCAACGCTGAGCTGTGCTACGGGGTCATCACCCGCAGAGGTAACAGCGCAACGTGAGGGTGTTCAGCCCTGCTGCTGCCAGCACCCAGGGCTCGGAGGCCAGTGAGCAGACGGGTCGTGCCCTGAGCTGGGGCTTCTTTCCAAAGGCCATAAGGATCAGCATCCACATGGAGGCAGGTGGCTCTAGCATGAAGCCCTGGAGATGGGCCAGGACCAGGTCCTGGAGGCCTTACCCTCATTGCTCTCAGGATGCGATGATGGCTCAGGCCTTATGATCTGGGGTGCAGACAGGGGTGCAGTCGAGGGAGATGGGGGGAGCCTTCCTCTTCAGCTGCAGAAAGCCACCTTGGTGCCTGCAAAAGCACGGGATGTCCCCTCATTGCTTAGGCCAGGGCTGGCCCTTGGGGCTGGTGCTCTTCTCCTGAGCAGGCTGTGTCCACACCAGCACAGACAACACCAAGAGCAGGAATCGGAGACAGGAACGATGGCGACTCTGCGGGGATGCCACGCCAGGACTATGTACAGAAGGCTGGGCAGGAGCTGGCATCTCCAGGGAGCATCTTCTGCAACTCAGCTGCCTTTCTTCCTCTGTGTGCTCACATTGCATATGCTCTGCTGTGGCCCCCGTGGCCAAAGCCCACTCCTCGCATGGCTCCTGTCTCTAGGCTCGAAGGTGTCACCATCCCAGCATCTCCACAGCCAGTGCAGCACAGCCCCTGAGGCACCACCACGTCCCACATGTTCTCACCTGTGCCCCAAGTGGGTTTGGGCAAGGCTTGGTGCCCAGCAGATGCCACAAGGGATGAACCTGCCAGGGGGCTGAGGCTCCTCCAGCATCTCCCTCTGTCCCACAAAGCTTAATCCACAGCATCTCCCCCAGCTGCTGGGAGGAAAGGGGGGCTGGTAGCCCGCAACCACCCCTAACCAACATCCCCTAGCAAGTTCACAGCTGGCACCCAGCAGAGGGGAGAGAAAAAGGCGCAGCACAAGTCATCCCCTGGTCTTGTGATGGAGTTTGGTGGAAAAATCATCCTCTTCCACTCCGTGGCTTGGGAAGAAGAGCACCGGGGGGCACCGTGTGTGCCCACGGCCAGCCTGGCCTGAGGGCCGTAGCCATGCTCACCCATGGGCAGAGAGGAGGAGGTGCCCACACTCATGCACCACATGGATGAGCTTTAAAAAAAAAATGGGAATTGTGAGCATGGGAGGGGGGTTTCCTGAGACCGCAGAGAAGCGAAGGCCGCGTTGAACAGTCAGGGACAGGCGCGCTGGTGTCAGAGCAGTCCTGCCTTAAGGCTGCAAGTGTTCCAGGTACTGCGGCAGTGGGTTCTCCTTGACGTATTTCTGAATGTACCAACACGTCAGGTGAGCTTTCAGGTCCTCCTCCACCACAAAGTCCAGAGCTGCCTGCAACCAACCGGAGAGGACAGACAGGTTACAACCAGCACCCCCAGCCTGAGCTCTCCTCTGCGGCCTCCTGGAGGTCCAGACCCCCCGTACCCTGCGCAAAGATGGGGGAGCAGCAGGTTGCCCTCATGTACCCACTGTGCGAGGCAGGCAGAGGGAGAGGGCTGGGGGGAAGAGCACAGCCATCCTGCCACAGCCACCACAGGGTCCCCAGTTTAACCAGAGGGATGGGAGACGCCCAGGTAACCCTCAATGCCTGGTGGATGCTGCACTGCAGGTGACCCAGCCACATCACCTGAATGCCACCTTTGTCACCCATTTGCCCTGGATTATGGGGCCAGGAAGCAGCTGTGACCCCAAAGTATCACCCCACAGTCCCCCCCACCACTGTGCTTGTGGCACCTCAGCCCTTCCTGCGTGGCTACAGACCTCAAAAGGCAGGAAAAGAGCTCACAAGGGCCTTCAATCTTTGAAGTGAGGGGGTCCAGCCCCCAGGAGGGGTACTACATCAGCCCCTGCGAGGTGGGCACGGGGGCTGGTTGCTGTAAGGAGGAAAGGGATAAGCTTGGGCAAGCAGCTGGCCGTGCTGGCACTCACCCAGCCCCTCTCACTGCCAGAAATAGGAATATCTGTCCAGGGATTTCCATCTGCCCCACCAGCCAGCCCTATCTCCCATCAGAGCAAGGATGGCTCCCGCGGGGAAACACCAGTGCGATGGGGCCTGGCTTCAGCCAGGGTCACCAGCCACAGCTGGGACAGTGACAGCTTCTGCCCAGGGGACAAGGGGTGGCTGAGGCCATACCTTCGCCAGGTGCTTGGCTATTCCTCTCCCTCGATAAGCATCCGGTACTTCCGTGTGCTGCAAGTCCACGATCCGCTTCCCCACGTACTCGTAGAGCAGCACCGCCTTGTCATGGCAACCTGGGGGATGCGAGAGAGGGGTGAGTGAGGCTCAGGATGTCCCCGGGCTCCCAGCCCACCATCACACGGTGCCACTCATGGGATTGCTCCAACAGCCCTCGCACGGCTCCTCGCACCCACGGGAATGGGCTGTGGCACTGGGTGCTTTCACGCAGCAGAAGGGCTCAGCAGATATTTTGCTTTTGGCGACACTTGGACTTCCATGTTGGTCCTGGAACAGATCTACTTGGCTTTTCCAAGCTCCTGGACCTTTTCTACCCAGCCCTGAATTGTTGGCCAAGGTGCCAACACAACACTTTTAGGGCAGGAAAGCAGCTGGCGGGGAGGGGGGGATGTATTGATGGGGGAGTGAGCAAAAATAGGAGGGGGAAGATCAGGACAAAGCTGATCCAGGTGACAGCCAATTCCTTCCTCTCTACAGCACAGAGTTTTTTGTCATGGTGTATAAAACAGGACAAGGACTTCTTGGCCTGGTGTTGGACAGACACATTTTGGGGAAGATGCTGGGCGAGATGAATCCCCCCCTGCACAGGAAAGCGTGCACAGGCGTGCAAGGGGGTTTGTGCACACACATTTACATGCCCACACAGACAGAGGCTTCCTGTTGCAACACCCTGACCTCTCACAGCAGTTCAGTTACAGGAAAAAAAAAAAAAAGAAGTTTCAGCACACGTGTAAATCAGAGGAGAGCTCATAACACCTCTCTGGCCTCATCTGCCAAACCCGAGCTCCTGTCTTAAACATGAAAGCAACCATTTCATTTCTAGAGGGTTTCTGCATTTACAAGTGAGTTTCAGAAACACAAGCTTTCAATCAAAGGGACAAGCTCAATGAAAACAACAGAAACCTTTCCTTTCCCTCCAGTGGTTACTGGAGGGTGAAGGGCCACAAGGTTCACCTGCATTTACTACAGGCTTTAGCTGAGCTCAATACACTTTATTTTATTGCATTTCAGCTGACAACTCCAGCCCAGTTCCCCTGACCCCTGTGTTTGAAAGGCACTAGAAATAAGCCCATCTGAATTCCGTGTTTCAAGAGAAGCAGCTCAGGCTTCTGTTTCTGCTCTTTTTATGCAGAGACTCAATCCTTCCGCATTGGATGGAAACCTTTGCATTTCCAGCCTGAGTTTATTCCTTCTGGAGAATCCAGACCTGCTCCCCTCCCAGGCCAAAACTTTCCATAGACTCTGCCTGAAGTTTTGATAAGTTCAAAATTAAATCCTTCTCCAAGTGATGACAGAGCAAAAGATTGCTGTTTGCTTGTTTAAAAAAAAAAAAACACAAAACAAACAACTTTTACATACTATATTTATATATATATATGATCTACGTAGAAGTATCATGCAAAAAATGTACAAAACCACATTTTAAAGCAGAGGATGATGCTCTGCTTGGAGAATCTCAGATTTGTCCTGGACAGACTTTCCCTCAATATTCACTGTATCCCAGTAGCACCACAAAACCCCAGCTGGGACAGGAGCTGCAGGGTGCCACGGGCGTACAGATGGATGGTCACAGAGCCCAAAGGATTTTACAGCTGGGTCTGCAGAAAAAGCCAGTGCTGCCAATGCTGTGGGAAACTGGTCCCAGTTCAGAAAAAGTCAAGTACATAAATGTGTCCCCAGTACATGCTCACCTTGGTGATGGGACCCTGAGCCACCCAGCACATGAAATCCAGGACGCTCCTGCCATAGGTTTGACATGGGCCCTGCAGGTGACACCAAGGGCTTGGGAGGAGATGGCTGCTGTGTCCCCACTCCTGCACAGCCCCGGGGCTGGGTTGGGTGACACCAAGCGTCTCCCAGTCTCCCGTCTCCAGCTCCTGCTGCTGGATGGTGGGTGATGCAGAGCCACAAGCTGAGCTCCCGGGCTGCGAGAGGAGCTGATGGAGGGGGACGTGTCCAGCCAAACCCATAAACTGGGAACAGCTGGATGCACAGAACTGCACAGCCACAGGAGCCAGAGGTGGGGGAAAAAGCCCAGATCAGCAAAGGAGAAACAAGCCACGATCCAAAAGGATTTCAGTCTTGTGAGAGGGCATCCCGCCCGGATTCTCCACTGTCTGCTGCCGGGCTGTGTGTTCACGACAGCCCTGCCTCCACGGAGACATCAGCTCATGGCACAGGTCCTGCAGGAACAGCCTCTCCTGGAGATCCAGATCCCTCTTCCTCTGCTGAGTAAGGCTGGAGGTGGCCAATGGCTCGCAACAAGAAGGGAAGGACCGGCCAGCGGAAGGGCTGTTTCCTTCAAACCCGGCTGCTCTGCACATCCTCTCCAACACCACCCACTGCTTCTGGGAAAAGCAGGGTGAAACAGACCATACCCCCAAACCACAACCGGTCCTGGGCTCTCCACAAGTGGGACTGGGGCATAAGCCTTGTTTTCCCACCAAAAGGGGCCAGAGGGATGAGATGAGGGAGCGGAGGCGCTTTGCTGCAATACGATGCTGGAAGAAGCCTTGCTGCTCTGTGGTACCTTGGGCACGGGGAGGGGGTGCTGCTCCCAGCAAAGGGACCATTGCAAAGCTGGGGGAGCTGGAAGCAGCACTGACCCCTCACAGGAGCTGCTCAGCCCTAGCTTGTCACAAATTCCCCCAAAGAGAGGGCACGCAAGCAGAAATCACACCAAAACACAGCATAAGAGGGATGCCACAAGCCAGTCTCCCTCCTGTCTGTCTCCTTAAACTTTGGGGCAGGGATTTTATCCCTCCATCCCATGCAAACCTGCATGGACTGAGCTTGGCAAAACTGGCTGAGGTCTCAGCTGGCCCAAGCGGTGCCCTATCACGACGTTTGACTCGCAGTCACTCCCCTGCTTAGCGCCTTGGCTTTTGAGGCCACCGTGAGCGAGGAAGTCTGAGTCAATGCAAATCAGCACAGCAAGAAAGAGCAGTAAGAGGAGGCTGCCTGATGAAAATGGCAGCGCAGCTGGTCCCCAGCCCTCCCTCAGATCACAGGGTTCACAGGGAAGGGGAAGCTTTGCCAGGAGGTGGGAGAGGGACCAGGTCTAAACTCGCTCTCCACGGAGGGTTTCCACCAGGATCAGTGGTGCAGAGCATCCACCCGAGCAGGGCGGACAGCTTTGGGCAGCAGACAAGGTCCCTACACCACAGGCTCAGCCACACCACCAGACACAAGCCCCTGGGCCAGGCGGCTTGTGAGCCTCGGGGGGAACAAGCAGCGAGCCCAGCCCCAGCCCCGAGCTGGGGAAGGGACATGGAAGGCACCCAGGAAGATGCAGGCACCTCACTGTCCCCCCTCTCCCAGGGCACACGCCGTACCTGCCTGGCGAGGGGACACGGCAGCACTGGCAGCACAGCAGGACCTGTCCTTCCAGCCTGAGGGACCTTCTCCCCGTCCCTCTGTGCCAGCCCCAGCCCACAATACACCATTGTGTGCCCAGGCCCAGAGCAAGGCAGGGGCTTGGTGAGGGGCTGGCTGCCTGCTGGCCAACTGCTGCACTCCGTTGCCAGCTTTGGAGGCAGCCCCTGAGCTCCAGCCTCCTTAGGGGCTGCAAAGCCATTCCTGCTGCAAAACCATTCCCCAAAAGCAAGGGGAGAGAAGAGACACCAGCCCCATTTCCCACTCTCAGAGGCAGGAAGCAGCTCGGCTCTGCTGGCTGCTGAGCCAAAAAGGTGGCCACCAAAAGCTGCACGTGAGGCAAGCCGAGAGGACAAGATGTCCTGAGGAACGTGTACATCCCAGGCCCCGGAGCTCGCTGCACGCCGCGGGCTGGCCTTGCTCCCCAGGGAGCCGCTGGCACGTTACTAGGGAGAGAAAACACAACAGCACACAACAGACAGCCCCGAGCGGAGACGGCGCAACCGTCACCGAGGGGCCTCGCTGGCAGCGGTGGTGGCGGTGGGGGAGCACTCGGGTTTGAGGCAGTTTCCTGTTTAGGAGCTCTCTCGAGGCGACTGCGGCGCAGGAGAAGAGGGGGGACATCTTGACGCAGGGTCCAGCGACCCTATCCCTTCATCCCCACCACAAACCCAGCAGCTTTCCCATACAATCACAGAAGCACACAGGGTTGGAAGGGACCTCTGGAGATCATCTAGTCCAACCCCCCTGCCCAAAACAGGTCCACCCAGAGCAGGTTGCACAGGAACGTGTCCAGGCGGGGTTTGAATGTCTCCAGAGAAGGAGACTCCACCACCTCCCTGGGCAGCCTCTTCCAGGGCTCTGCCACCCTCGCAGGAATGAAGTTCCTCCTCATGTTTAGATGGAACTTCTTATGTTCAAGTTTGTGCCCATTTCCTCTTGTCCTGGCACTAGGCACCACTGAAAAAAGACTGGCCCCATCCTCTTGACACCCACCCTTTAAGTATTTATAAGCATTGATCAGATCCCCGCTTAGCCTTCTCTTCTCCAGACTAAAAAGACCCAAGTCCCTCAGCCTCTCCTTGTAAGGGAGATGCTCCAGGCCCCTAATCATCTTTGTAGTCCTCTGCTGTACCCTCTCCAGCAGTTCCCTGTCCTTCTGGAACTGGGGAGCCCAGAACTGGACCCAGTGCTCTAGATGGGGCCCCCCCAGGGCAGAGCAGAGGGGCAGGCTGACCTCCCTCAACCTGCTGGTCACACTCTTCTTGATGCACTCCAGGATGCCCTTGGCCTTCTTGGCCACAAGGGCACATTGCTAGCTCGTGGTCATCCTATTGTCCACCAGGACTCCTAGGTTTTTCTCCTCAGAGGTGCTCTCCAGCAAGTCAGCCCCATCCCAGAGGGCATCTGCCCCAGCAGGGAGGAAAGCACCAAGGCACAACCTGCTCCCGTTTTCCTAATAAACCTGAGCCTGGACTCCTGACAAGGAGCTCCCCAGACTGAGATCTGCAGCAGGCAAAGCAGGAGCTTCCAGCCACTGGATCCTGCCCAAACCTATTTGGGGAGGAGCAGGAGGTTTGGGAAGCGTGGCACGGTGCACCCACGCATTGAATGAATGGAAGCACAGGTGTGCAAGGAGCCCACGCATCCCTGAGGAGCTGGAGCTGCTCGGTGCATGAAG